CCGAAATCACAGTCGGCCGCTAACTGATGGATTGAGTGTGGATGTGGGTTGTTGGGTGCTGAGCAGGTGGGTCCTAGTGGCAGGTGTTGCGGGTCTGTCTGTTGTCTCACGCGAGCGAGCGTGGGCCTGGGCTAATAATCACATTAGCTTTGCCAGATAATCACATTAAATTTTCGACTGGTTTTATTCTTTTTATTTTGCTTTGATTTTTATGGCCCAATAATTTGCACTTCTAGTGGATGGGCGGGCTTTCCGATTGAGGGCTTGGCCTGGCCAAGGAATCGGCTAGATTAATTACGCACGCATCTTGCTGCTTGAGTGCCTTGACCTTAATGGTACTTATAAATGCGCTAATTAGAAATGGAGTAAGCTGTTCCAGAATCAGCCATACACACACACACACACACACATCTATAGAGAGGAAAGAGGGGGCTTGGGCCGCTTGTATTTACATTTTAAATTGAAAATGCAACTACAAACCGTCCATGGCAACATCACCATAAACATAATGTGTTTTTTATGGTTTGTCATAGAAATCTACAAGATCATAATTTATGCAACACCCGCTGGCCGCACGGCCCCAATGAACTTGAATTTATGGCCAGGCCAGGCCCAAGCCAAGCCAAGTTGGAACTGAAGTCGTCGCAGCGTTAAGGTGATAATATAAAAGAGAAAAACATAAACTGGAAGACGGCCAAAGGGTTCTGGTGCAGGGCGCAGGGGCAGTTGATTGCGTCTGCCTGGAGGCAAAAACGTCAGCAGAGTGGCCAGAGCCAAAGGAGCGCCAAGAGCAGCAGCACAGAGCGAGGCAAATAAATTGCAGCTGCTCGGCCAGGGCGATGAAATACAAATAGAAATACTTGGCAGCTACCGTTGACGTTGCACGTTGCACGTTGAACGTTGCGCGTTGCACGTCGAGTCTGGCTGCGGATGAAGTTGCCAGAGAGCATCGTGCACTTCACATGTCCTTTAGCTTGTTTGTCTTTCACTCTGACGCTCCTCTGCAGCGAGCTGAAGTGAAGTTGTTTGGCCAGACGACGCGCCACGCAGAGAAACGTCTTGCCAACCTCCATCCGACCAGTCGACCAGTCGACCAGTCGAGCATTCGAGCATGGAACCCAAACGAGCTTGCGAATCATGACCATTTGGGCATAAAAATTACCTTACCTCGCCCTGTCTCGTCTGCAGTTGCTGTTGGCTTGTCTTCTTGTTGTTGACCTTCTATGGCCTGCGAGTTACCTGGCTGCGAGCTGACTTTGGCAGTGCGATTTAATCAGTTGCAAGCACATCTTTCCATCATGAATCTGGCCGCTGCAACAGCTCTTGACTTTTGGGTTAGCCAACTCGTCTGGGCACGACTTACACAAACGCTGCCCGAATCAAATGTGAACAAATTGAATTCGCTTGAGTTATGATGCCCCTTGCTAAAGACATTAGCATGTGCCTTGCTCTGGTCCCAGCCGGAATCAAATTGGTAGCACATAAAAAGTTTCTGATGGCAGAGTCGCACAGCTTGGAGGCAGCTGGGGTAATCATTTGATAGTCAAAGACGCAACCCTTGCCGAAAGCCAACATAGACACCCCAAACGGCCCTAAATCAGCATCAGCTTCAGCTCAGTGGCCACCAATGTCATCATCAGCCGCGGGCAGAGACAGCTAACCCCAGACAAAAACTTGTACATACATTGATAATAATAAAAATGTCTGTCGTCTGCCTCAAAGTGGGAGTCGGACTCTGGCTCTGTCTGTGGCCTAGTCTTCCGTCTGCGTTTAATGCACAACATATTCATGTGTCAAAAGACAATTTCGGATTTATGGCCTGCGAAATCCCCAGGCTGTTGTCCGACTACGACGACGACGACGAAGTGACGCATAGTGGGCGGCCGAATGGGGTCCGTTGCATTAGCATAGAGAAAAAATATGTTAAGAAAACATAAAATGATATCCACTAGGCGAGACACACATTCAGACATACATTTAAATCCCGCTCAGCTTTTTGGTTTGCATAAATTAGGGCTGAAGGAAAGGGTTCGGATCGGTGCTGGGCATGCCGCAATGGGTTAGATACATGGGCCTGGCGTATTTGGGGCGCAAAAATTGCCATTTTTATTCCATTTTTTCTCTTTTTTTTCTCAGTTTGGCACATACAAAGTTTTGGCTTATGCGTCTGCTCTGGTATTTTAGGGTTGTAATTGAAATTAAATAGATGTCGTGCCATGAATTCAAATCGCTTTTCTTTTTTTGCCTTCTTTCTGGCAAATTCGTTGCATAACAATGGGAAGAGGGTTTTAAAGAGTTAAAGAACCAAAAATATATGTGCAAATATTTACAAAGCTTTGATGTAAGATTGGTCCTAAATATCATAAAAATATAGATTTGAGTAAGCCATGAAATAACCACGAATAACATTTGATTTAAACAAATTGAGTGTTTAATCCGCTTACTCCTTATTTTAATAGACGATATAGGACTTAAAGCAAACATGGCCTGCAACAATACAAATATTGATTAAAACTGATATAAGATTTGCTTCATGGAACAGAAGATTATTTCTCAATGCTTTTGAGTCTTTGCCTAGTCTGATCTATATGAGATAATTGATTCTTAGAGTTCTCAAAAGACTCTAGACTGTCTCGGATAGCTCAACTATTCAGTTTGCTTTGTAGCCATCCTCTTTAGTTGCCACATTTGCATTTTACTTTATCAGCATCTTGCCACGCATAACTCCTGCCTGTTATCGCTGTGCTCCGTTCTGGCTTGCCTCCGGTTTTCTTTTACCATTTTCCACTTGTTCATGCTGTTGCAATTTGTAGCTCTTTAAGCATATTTTCACAGCTTCTTTTACACTTTTGGGATAACTTTTACTTTTTGGGGCAACGCCGCGCGTATTTATGTCAGCGTCCAAGCTGAAGGTGGCTGGATAAAGAACATCGATTTTCTCCAAACAGCTGCCCAGGTGACAGGCGGAAAAAGGAAAACAGAGCACAGAACTCAGCTATTGAGAATTGTGTGGGGGTGTGGGGCATCGACTTCATTTGTCGAGCAATCAGCTCTAATTAGCGCCAGGCACTTGAGATGCAAAGCATTTCACTGCAGGGGGGGTGGGTGGGTGTCGGGAGGCTGAAGCTGAATAATTTGCTATTATTTGTCCATAATTGGGGTGCGTGGGGTCGCAAAAGTTTTGATGTCGGTGGAATTTTAATTGTGAATGTTTCAGCCGACGCAAGTTTTATGCCAAGCTGGGGCACTTGCTCGACTTGCTTCGCCTTTAAGCAATCATTTTGTAATGTTTCTTTTTTGTCTCGATTAAATGAACTGCTTTTCCAGCTCAGAAGTCTGAGTCCCATTAACCCTTGCGGAGCTATCACAACTTCTCTATCTACCTAGGTTCATTATGCGACAGTATTCATATCTGCAAAACGACATATTTCCTCACCCCCGCCACTCCCCTGCTACCGCAGAGCGTGGTCCACCAGCAGCCGCTTTCACTAATTACATTTTCAAAGCGCAAACGAAGCGTATGAGGAACCGGGGGAGGGTAAGCGAAAGGGAGTGGAAACGGGAACGGGAGCAGCCTGGTCTGGGTTCGCTCCACTAATTAGTACGACATACACACACACATGCATATAAATGCATATGTATAGTCGGTGGACGAATAAGTGGCATAAATTAAAATAAAATGCATAAGTATTATGCTGCGACTGCGATAAAAATCTAAAATAAACCGCAGCGGCTAGCCCCATGAACAAACACGCCGAAGCATGCAACATATGCACAGCAGCAGCAGGGCAAGCAACAAAGCAACAACATCAACATTAATTAAGCATAAACATTTAACCTGCCCCCGAGACACGCCTTCGCACAGCGTCGCGTGTCCGTGAGCCAAGTAAGGGTCCGCTTTGTGTTTTGTTCAAGTCGCATTTTATAATTTTGATTGATTTATTGAGCCCACGCAAGTGGCAAGGGGCAAGTGGCAACTGGCAAGTGGCAAGTGTAGCCAGAGCAGGTATCGAGCAAGGCGCCAGCTGTAGGCCGATCCCCAGGAGAGCGTCTCGTATATATTTCTAAATGTAATTTAATTAAATGCATTGCGAGGCGACGGGCCAGCGAGCAGCGATCCACAGACCTGTCATAACTATCCGATACACCTATCTGATATGTAGATAAAAAGATAGCCAGGTGTTTTTCAGGGTAGATATTCGTAGGAAAGCTTAACAAGTAGTTTATTTTGGATTAGCCTAAATAGGTGCTGTTCGCCAGGCAGCTATCTACAAAAGCATAATAATGCATAATAGATTTTTAAGATTAAATTCAAGTTTAATGTGAGGGTAAAGTTGTGCTTTAAGTCAAATTTATAATATATATTAATGCCCTACAGAAACTAAGTAGATATCGATATGCCGGGTTTTGGTTAGGAATAACAGTCAGATTGGGTTAGTCTCACATATCTGTTAAATAATCGGCTCGGCTTATGAGCAGGTCTCTGAGATTTATCTGTGCACAAAACGCTACTCGAGTAAGACTTCAGTCAAGTATTGGTGATTTAGCGATTTAAAAGTTGAATATCAATTCCAAAAAGTGTACTTTAAGCTTGAACTCTTCTTTGTCGCCCAACTTGTTTGTCGATTTTGATTGATTTGGGGTGGATGCAATAAGAAATTGTCTGGCATCGGAAGCTGTTGCTGGGGCTCGGCTATTTAACTCCTTCAATATGTCACCGAAATGTCTAAGTGGACAGATAATGCAGGGTCTGGTGGCAGTAACAGTCGGCTGCTTGGCCATGGCCATTGCTCGAAGAAAATCAATTTGACAAAGTAAAGAAAACTGTTATCCCTGGTGATTGATTATGCAGCCGACTCAAGTGACTGGCCAAAAGTTGCTCGGCTGCTTCGATTGGGTCACCAGGCGTATCATTAATTTCCAGAGCGGCGGGTTGGACGCCATGTTAGCAGCCATTACGGACATGCATCTTAAGTCTTTCTGCTTTCGCTTCATTGCAGGCGTTTCCGCGGAGCTCTACTATGTGCGGGAGGGCGCCATCAATGACTACGCGCTGAACTTTGCGGTGCCGGTGCCGGCGAACATAAGCGATGTTACGTTTACCTGGCAGTCGCTGGTGGAGCATCCGCTGCCCTACAGCATCAATGTGGCCACCTCGGATGTGGGTGTTCTGCCACGCCCGATGCTGAACATCTCGCGCATTGGCGATGTGCCCCAGGAGCCGCAGACATGGGGCGTCAGCCTCAAGTGCTCGGGCACGCGGGCAGCGGAGGTAACCGTTACCATCAGTGTAGAGGTGATACTGGACCGGGCGACCAACAACAATACGAATCTCATCTTTAAACGTAAGAAAATTTGCTTGAAGGACGAGCCAAACGACGCACGGGAGGAATACGATGACGAGGAACCACTGCATCCGGACCTGACTGGTCACGAAGATATCCACTACACGGAACACAATGAAGACACCGCAGAGCACGTCATATCCGACGGCCACATGCCCTCAAATGTGGAGCATGGAAAGGCAACTGAGAGACACCGTGTAGTGGTGACTGAGCCTACCGTGGTTGTGGGACGAGGTGCTGGCGGGGCAGGCTCGAACAATGAATACGATCCACTCTTGCGTGAAACTCTCGTGCCGCCCACCAGCGGTCTGATCACTCTGATAGTGGGCGGTATTTTGGCACTGGTGCTCGTTTCGACACTCATTTTGATAGCCTACTGCGCAAAGGGACCTTCGAAGCGACATCCCTCGAACGGCGTGCATTTGATTAAGACCTCCAGCTTTCAGCGCTTGCCCACCATTTCCTCTACGGCACACAATTCGATCTATGTTTGCCCCTCGACAATCACACCCACATATGCGACGCTGACGCGGCCCTTTCGCGAATATGAGCATGAGCCTGAGGAGTTCAACCGCCGTCTCCAGGAGCTGACAGTCCAAAAATGTCGCGTGCGCCTCTCCTGCCTCGTCCAAGAGGGAAACTTTGGGCGCATCTATCGCGGCACTTATAACGACTGCCAGGAGGTTCTGGTCAAGACTGTGGCGCAGCATGCAAGCCAGCTACAAGTGAATCTTCTGCTTCAGGAATCCATGATGCTCTATGAGGCAACACACCCCAATGTCCTAGCTGTGCTCGGCATTTCTATCGAGGACTTTGCCACACCATTCGTGCTCTATGCCGCCACCGGCAGTGTTCGCAATCTAAAGACCTTCCTGCAGGATCCATCGTATGCCAGAAGCGTTACCACCATTCAAACGGTGCTAATGGCCTCCCAGCTAGCCATGGCCATGGAGCATTTGCACAACCATGGAGTCATTCACAAGGATATTGCAGCCAGGAATTGTGTGTAAGTAGAGCAGAGGCCCCTAAAACATTATCCAACCTAATCTATGTTTTGTAATTCGTCTAATCGACCACTTACGAACCTCTGCTCTTCGTTTCCCTCAGCATTGATGATCAGCTGCGCGTAAAGTTAACCGACAGCGCCCTCAGTCGCGATCTCTTCTCCGGTGACTACAACTGCTTGGGAGATGGGGAGTACCGACCCATCAAGTGGCTGTCGCTCGAGGCACTGCAGAAGTCGCACTACAACGAGGGCAGCGACGTTTGGTCCTTTGGGGTACTCATGTGGGAGATGTGCACGCTGGGCAAGCTGCCCTACGCCGAGATTGATCCGTATGAAATGGAGCATTATCTAAAGGACGGTTATAGACTGGCACAGCCCTTCAACTGTCCCGACGAACTGTGAGTATCAACCAGCTAATGGGCACTCATATCACACAGAAAATTGAACGGTTGCCTTCCTTTGCTCTGGTACTTGCAGTTTCACTATTATGGCCTACTGCTGGGCCTCCATGCCCGCCGAGCGACCCTCGTTCAGTCAGCTTCAGATCTGCCTATCGGAGTTCCATACACAGATCACCAGATATGTTTAACCTGCGGTAATGAAGCACACCAAGACCTGTAAATATAACAAAAGGCGACGTCGTAAGATTTCGCAGCAAACGATGTCCGCAACTCTGTTCCCAAAGACATATTTAAATTAAAGCGCCTAAGGGGCGTCTAAGAAGCGATAATGTGGGAGATATGGATACGAGTGAGGGCCCACTGTTGTCCCCCACAATAAATAGTTACTTACTAATTGTAGTAGTCGCTGGACCGATTGGAGGCAACATACCACGGTTCAGAAAAGTCGCAAAGTTGTGCACTGCACCATATTAAGCAGTTAGGTTATTAGGACTAGGATAGGATATTATGAAAATCGAAAAACAAGTGACATTTAAATGCAAGAAACATAGTAGTTGAACGTAAACACCAGAATACATTTTAACGAGACACATTCACGAAAGAAAACCCAGTTAAGGATTCCCTGAGAATCCCCACATAAGCTAAATCATTTGGATAACATAACATTATATATAGATACATAGCTAAAGACAAGACCCATAATAAGGTACACAACCCTAGGCTAGGCGTATACGAGTGTTGGCCTGGTTTATCGGGACACTTTGGAGGAGCTCGGGCATAAATTCGACGTTTATAAACAGCAAAATATATATTATCGAATATCTATGTAAATGTATTTATATGTGTATGTATATGTATATGACTAAGAGCGTAGTGCTAGAAAACTCGAATCTAATGTATTTAATTAATGTTAATGACTTCATGTCGAAATCCAACGGTGCACTACAGAACTTCCCTATTTAGTTCACCAGCATCCAAGATCCCAGGGACTGTCGAGTCGAGCCTAAAAATTTTTTTTGTTACTTGAAAGTTTTGTAATATACTTAAGCATTTCGCATTAGTTTTATGTTCCCCTTTATGAGTTTTATTTTAAGAATAACGAAAGAAAACGATTTCAATAAACGTCCGTGCATGAAATTCAAAACCAAAGAAATGCATTCGCGAATTGCCTCCGTCTGAAAGGGGAAATGGAAAATGGAAAATGGAACGACAGTTAAGTAAAATATTCTTGTGTAAGTATATCGCTAACAATTGAGCCCCAGCCACGCCCATCACTTACCCTAAAACAACTTGTGCTAAGAGCAATGCGTTGTTTGGGCTTAAAGTGCGGAGGCGACGCTGCCACAACCAAGAGGGGCTGGGCTGGGTTAACCATCTGCAGCCCGCACACACGCAAACACAGACACACACAGACACACATATACATGTTCAAGAACGAGCCAATCTCTTTGCCAGCCCAAGCGTGCTGGCTACACAAAAGGCATGTAATGCCAACTGCCTATTTGAGGAGTGGAAGCGGGAGCAGAGGCAGAAGCGGAAGCGAGAACAGGAGCAGGAGGTGCCTGCCCACACCTGTACGTGGAGAGCCTGTCGAGCGCGTGCAGAGCTTATGAGGTAGTCGCTATTTCATGGTATGCCCTTTGATGGCCGCACTGACACTACTTAGTTTTTGGCACGTCATGGAGCGGCACGATGTTGCCCGTGTCCTTTTTAATATGCCTGTCACAGCGTCAGCCAGTCCAGAGACTAGTTTCGTGTCCTGCCTCCTTCCTGGCTGCTGCGTGCTGCTTTCTATTTCATTTTTTGGCTCTCCTTCACGATGGTAATGTCTTTAAAAAACGCTCCGAGCACGCAGCTCTGAGGCACGTGCCCCGGCTAAGATGCGAGGCATTTAACCAAAGCCACTATCAAAATCAAAAGCTAACACAAAAGCTGTTACAGTAAAGCCTCTGCATAACGACAACACATAACACTAAGATTCAAGATTACAAGCTTATAAGAATATATGCTCAAACTATTTACTTTTATTTAGGCGATGTTAGATAATCAACTTTTCTTTTGTATCAACTTTTTTTAGTTGCATCTCTTACTAAACTTTTATCAAAATAATTATTTATTTTCTTTTTGATTAGTTGCAGTTTTAAATTTGTGCATTTTTTCTTAAATCTTCTGTTTCATGAAAATTGTTCACGTATATCACTAAAAGCATTTTCCGCTACTGATAAAGTTAATGTTTGCTAACTGCTATAGAAACATTTTTTTATCTTTATAAATACATTCTGTGGCGAATCGGAAATCAAAGGACCAATTATATAGATGCGCTATTCACAAAGTTAAAGAGCTTTCCGTTTGCTGGTGCGATTATAAAGAGAAGTGAATCAGAAAGCCGAAAGGCAAACTTTGAACAGTTTCGTTTCAATCAAATTAAAGCGCTCCAGCAAATTGACAAAAGATATTAAGTTATTAAAAACAACGCGAGTCGAAACAGAATTTTTTTCGGCTGGAATATTGCCATAAAAGTCACACAACTAAAACAGAAAACGAGCCGAAAGGGGGGCTGAACTCATTGAAACTTGAGCTCCAACAACAAACACACACATGGGGAAAACGAATGGAAAATGCAGAGAGAGAAAAAAAGGGCAAAATTGAAAAACAAAAGGCAACTGGGAACTTTGTTGTTGGTCAACACTCTAAGCCAAAAATCAACAAATATAAAAAATTTCATAGCACGTGAGGCAGCATTTCAATTTTTCAGTAGCTTGTGCGCGCAAAAACTTTGACAGCGACGACCGCCCTGCTTGCCCCTAACCACGCCAACCACACTCCAAAAGCCGGAGCAGCAACAACAACTAGAACAACAACAACAACAAGAGCCAAAAACAAAATGACGACAGGTAGTCGTCAGTCTGGAGTCGGTCCACAGTTCCCCCATGGAGCCATTGCCAGCCCTGCGGCTACCCCAGGTGATGTTTGATCTTTCAACGGATGAGCTCGACCAGTGGCGGCCGGCTGGTTATTGGGGGTGGGGATTGGTAGCGAAGCGGGTGGCAACAACTGCAGCAACTTTTTGCCAAAGTGGGTCGGTCGCATGGCATGGCCTCAAAATTGATTACTTTGTGGAGGGGGCGACGCAGTTTCAGTTTTTTGGTTGCCATTTTGAAGCTGTTGATTATGACCACAAGGCATTAGCACAAAAATAAATATTTACCTTTGAAATTATTAAGCAAAGTTTTCTGATATCGGTGGTTACCTGTGGCATAGCTAAGCTGGCGAGCGGGTCGCAGCCCTCTTCTGTCTCGGATTCGGGGTCGGGGCGTAGTCAGGATTGTTCTAAATTGCACGAAAGTTTGATGTTTTTCTGATTGCAAAACTAATTAAAAAGTTGACGAAACTCATTTGGAATTGCCTTAAAGATTTAATTCGTGCAAAGGGTTCAGTGATGATTTTCAGTTTTTTATCGTCGTCAAGGAGCTAGCCCCTGGCTCAAGCTAATCACATCTTGCTCTTGATAACTTTTCGAGTTGCGCGCCAACTTTAAGAATGCACATAATCAATGTCGAACTATTTGACTTTAGCTGCTTATTGGACTCTCTTAAGGCGCTCGCCTTGAAACTTTTCAATTCCGCTCCGCTCCCCCCACCAAGCTAAACTAAGAAATGCCAAATGCAAAAATTGTTTTTCAATTTCTTTTCTATTTTGCAATACATAAAACACGAGCTGAGGCGAATGGAGCAACATTAGCATACAACTTTTCTTGTTATTTTTTATGTGAAAAATTTTCAAAAACTCGCCAAGGGTTGCGGGCGCGGGCACGGGTGCGGCAAGAAGCAACTAACTGCAAAGCCAAGGAAGCGGAAACGGAAAGCATACAACGCAGACAAACGCCAACAAATTCGATGGCGGCTAAGAGGAATCACGCAACTGCCGTTGCCCTTTTATCTCAGCGACTCAGGACTGCCGATGAGCCAAGCACTTGCAATTGAAAGCGGCGGGCGGACTAGGATTCCGAGTCGTTGTCGATGTCGATGTCGCGACGCAGACCAGACAAAAGTGAAAACAGTCGCGTCGCGGCAAAATACATAATAATGACATGGAAGGAAATCATTTTCATTTGCAAGCCATCGCTTCATTGCTTCCCATACCCTAACCCGAACTCAAGCCCGGGGAGCTCAGCTCCAGCCTCATCATTCGATGTCGCCTGGAGTTAGCTGCAACTTCGCGGTGGGCGCTTCATTTGTCGCAAAGTTTTATTGAATTACGCGGGCGTGCCTCGGATCTGCCGTGAATAGCGTTTGATGTGAGACATGCCACAGAGCGGAGCGACATCCATGCTGATAATGGAAGCTGACTTCCTTTCGGATTATCACGCCTCTGAAAATTCATTAAAACTTTTTTTTTTTTTGGAACTGGCAATCGATTTGTTCTCCCCATTCCCACTTACCGGGCACGCATATGGAACTGTGGCACCTGCATTCATTTTTCATTTTTCACAGCCGTTTGTCGTGTTGCCGTTTTGCGCCTTTGACTCGGCTTTGACTTTTTGCCAGCTGTCATTATTCATCCAAACTGTTTTCGCTTAGCCGGCGAGCGAGTTGGCGGCCCGACTCTCCAAATTTCCCACATATGTCGCCAACTAAGGACTGGACCAAGGCCCACGTGTGATTAATTGTTGCAAGTGCTGCTGCTGCTGCTACTCGTACCAAGTCAGCGCCGAGTGGGGAATAGCGTCGACTGAGTTATTGGCTTCGACACAAAACTTTCGGGCAGTGGCTCGTAAGCCACTGCCACAGTAGATTCAAGGTATCGAAGTCCGTTCTGGATGTTTTATGGCGCAACATGCCGACATTCGCTAGAATAAGTATGTTAACTAAGTCGATTTTCAGTGACCTTCAAACCGATTACGCATTAAATACTCAATCTTATATTATACTTACAATAGTTACACAAATATACTTACATTCTCTATTAAACGAAAATATATATTTTTATTGAATATATTTAACCTTTATTCTAATAATTAATTTGGAAAAACAGTTCCATACCATATTGCATGCGACAATTCCATAAATATCTCTTTTGTGGAAAATTCCACCCGCTAGTGTGACAAAATCGCGCATTTTCACTTACCAATTTTGCTTCTCGGGCAATAATGCGCATAAAAGATTTCTTATTTATAAAAATTCCAAATAACTTTCAAAGGAGCAAACTGTAATTTGAGTTGATTCTACACTTCTTGAAACACGTAAGATATCAATTAAAATGTACAAATAATTATTCAAGAAATGTATTTTATTTTTATAGAATGTGGCTCTTTTGTTTATTTTTTTGTTCTATAAATGTAACATTTTCGGACTGCATCGAAAAGTTTCATATTTGAACATCGATTTGTCGAATAAGCAACTCAATCATTTTCCATTGTCAATGGGGCTGCCGTTGTTGTTATTTTTGTTGTTGTTCTTGTTTGTGTTGAACTCTGCAGGAAGCTCGGAGCGGCGTACATTACAGCTGAGGCATAGAATAGAAAAATTATGCAGACTGCTGTCGATGGTGGGTAGCGGGGGGCGGAGGGCGTAAGGGCGCGCCACTGAAGCGACAAATGTGGCTATGCCACTTGCTGCCAAAATCAGCAAATGCACACACACACACACAAATGTGCATATGTGTGTGTGTGTGTGTGTGTAGTGCAGCCAAGCTGACTTGGGTTTGCGCCGGCCTCGACTGCAGTTGCACAATTTGTCGGCTTTCATTTTTGGCTATCCGCTTGCCAGCATATCGCCAAGCTGCCATATTGCCACATTGCCGTATTGCCACTTGCCACTTGCCACTTGCTTTTATGCAACAAATCATTGGCATAATTTAAAGCTTCGCTCGATGCTCAGTGCTCAGTTCTCAGTTCTCTTTGCCAGTTGCCAGTTGCCAGTTGCCAGTTGCTCGCTCTTGTCTCTTGTATTATTTTGCTGCTGCAGTATCGGGGGCATTGTGGGGTTAAGTGTGCACAGCATGCATGCCAGGCAGCCAGGCATTTAGCTCGTCTGGCAGCTGGGCTATCTGCTCCCTATGTATGATTATTGAATGTGGTCGAAGATTAATGATGCCTTCGTATTTGCCTTCGTCTCGGTGTTGTGTCTGTGCACAAGCCTGCCCCTGACTCTATTCCTGAGTTTGGGTTTGGGTTTGTATCGCATCAAGTTGCACCATTTGCTATCTTCTAATATTGTCTGGATGGAAATGGTAATCCTTGTTCAACTGTGGTTCCACTGCTCCTCCTTTTCAATATATAGTCAAGATGGTAAAATAAAGCTGATTAGTGGTAAGTGGGACCCGAACAGGAAAGCGATTTATGCATTGCGGTTGAGCTCAAGCTTAATACAATAAGACCATCGCAAATTAGGCTACATACGAGTGTAGTACATATGATTTTTTTTATTTATTGCATTTATCAGTTGCTAAGAAATTAGTTAAAAGAACACTTATTGGTAAGAAAAGACAGTTTTTCTACTACTTAAAAGCTTGAGTTGTAAGGAGTATATCAACTTTTTATGGATGGATAGGAGCAAAAGTTGTTCGAGTTAGGTTTCTTTACAGAAATTTGTAATCTACATGTTTATTGTATCATTTCTATGATCACCGACTTCTGATTTAAATAATTGTATTTATAGTTTTCTTGCTTTCTCCCGCTCGGTAAACAGCGAAATAAAAAATATTATATATACTACAATATGAGAATATACTTAGATTATGGGATATTATGAGATATTAGATGTTATGAGCTATATATATAAGTATATACATATGCTTGGTCCGGCACATTAATAACTTAGAAACGTTGAATATTTTTACTGTGCTCCCAGTTAAGGTTTGTTAGAAAACCAGCTTGTTTATTATTTTGGCACTTGATTCGTCTGGAGAACTGAACCAGAACAGGAATGGGGAAAATGACAAGTCTCGCATATGAACTTCCATAATAATAATAGAAGCACTCGTGCAACGTGAAATTTAATTAAATTTTTGGCCACGGCCAGACGGGTAGCCTACGTGAGAGCCCAGAGCTGGTAGAAGGTTTGTGTACCTGGGCTCCGTCCTTGGGTAAAGGGGAGGTCCGTCGCTCTGTCTCTTTCTTTTTTAGTTGGTGGTGACATATGTGACGCATAAATTAAACACTCCATTGAGGCGTCCTCACGTACGCTCGGGAGAGCCGGTAGGCGCTGGGGGCTGACTTTTCGCCATAGACCTAGGGAAATGCTCATTAGTTTTTTCGCATCATCGCCCAAGTGTGAGCAGAGCGGTCACTGCTTCAGACCAACTATATTTTTTAATTTGATTGATTTTAATTTATTTTTATTGAGCAGCTCGGAACGCAGCTCACCAGCCGGTTTGCCAGTGCGTACTGGTTAATCATTCCGAGCATGGGGACTCTCAACTAGTCGCGTTGTCTCGATTTGCAAATGGTGTCGTCTGCACCTCCCCAACTCGTCTCTAACCAGAACAAGTGCCATAAAGTTTGAGCTCTCTGGGAGTTCATAGAAAAAAGTGTTTCCCAAGGCTATTCTGGTCTGCGACAACTGGGTTTCGATTGCGCCAGGGTCTTGAGGGAGCACAGCAACAAGGGTAACATGGAAGCGGCTATTGCCGTAGACATGCACGGAGCGGAGTTGGCTTTTCTGGGCTCATTGCACATTGAACCGAGTTGTGGTCCTTAGATTTGCTGCGGTCTGTGACTATGGCACAAGTTTATCAATAAAATGCTGTGGCATACAAAAGTACACGAGTTATTTCTTTTACATGGATGTTTTGAGGCCAGGCCATCGGGATATGCTTGACTTATAGCCACTGAAAGAAAGTTTTTGTGCCATGTTGAGATGAAATATGTATCTGAATCTTTTCGGGTCAAAACGCATTTGCCAGTTAAGCTAACGCGTAAATAAGGGCATTGTATAAATAGCTTTAAATATTTATATTCTTATATACTGAAGTAAACTAGTTCAAGTAATAAATATATCTGTTAATAAAAACTATCGATCTTTTAGCTGTCAGCGCTTAAAGAGAAGACTGTGAAATATAATCCTTTGCAAAAGATAGGTATCATGTTGGGTCTTAGGGGTTTTCCCATGCCGGAAAACGACACTCGAAAACCTTTATTGCTTAAATGAAATAATGAAATAATTCAGGGCTATCGTGTCTGACAAAAGCTGGTAACGAGGCTCAAGCGAGATCTCGTAGGTGTTTAGCATCCATTGATAATTCAATTAACATGTTACTTCCACGAATTGTTATAGGTTTTGCGCTTGAGCGGACCATATCTGGCATCTTGTATCTCGATACGACACTACAGAAATGTTGAAGAATTACTCTTCCTCATATTTCAGACATCGTGTAATTTAAAACCACTCAGCACTCGATACGGAGCACTGGAGCCTGGCTGTGTGAACAATTGATTGGAAAAAAGGATTCGTCTGAGCATGGGATCGAGTTCGTTGTGCTGCTTATGCGCTGCTTCAGTTCAGTTTTTAAATGAATTCTCATTGAAGCGTTAATCCATTTAGGTCCATTCTTCTGCGCCAGTTTAACCCGTGGGTCGCAAACGTTTGCCCGCACATCTAACCTGATTTCGGGGCCAATTTCATGCGGTACTCGCACCTTTTGCCCATTCCCATGGTCGAAACCAATTGCTTGTATTTTGTGACAATGACCTATTTGTGGGAGCTCCTTCTGCTGTGGGCCCAAGCGAAATTGTGCATAAATTAAAAAAATGTTTCATAATCTAAACTATAAGCCCATTAAACGGTTGACCAACCACCTATTCCGTGTTTCCATCATCCTCCCCCCCTGTTATATGTATGTATATTTTATCAAAGGCAAAATTGATGACAATGCGGCTTGTCAACGCCTCGTCAGCTTCGGCTTAGGTGGCTGTTGCTCCTGCTGCTCCTGATGCTGTCGGGCTTCCTGCAACAAAAGATAAAAATTTCATTAAATCCATTATAACTGCCGTGGTAGAAGCGAGAAGAGTAAAAAGGATGATAACTAAGCGAGGGCACCCTTAAAGCCACGTTGGCAATATTCGCTTTTAGAAGGAGGTACAAAATAAATTTTGTGTGGTATATAGAGTTAAGCAGTTGCTCGATAATCTAAGATTATAATTAGATTATAATGAAAATATTACTCAAGTTAAAATGCTCAATGCATGCAATTTTTTAGCTAATGTTGTTTATTTTTGGTTACATTAGTTACTTTTGTTGTATTGAATATTATTCATTAATAATTAATAACTCATTCCAATATCTCACAAATTGATTAGTTTATTTATAACGAGCATTCTATACTATACTTAAGATTCTCATACAGCATACCCTACTTGTATTGCTGCTTATGATTACCAATCGATCGATACCCTACAAGTATTCAATTACATTCGCTTTCAATTTTATATGTTCGATAATAATTTATGTACGTTTACGTTTAGACCGCAATTGCATCAGCTTTACCAATGTAGCGCAGCGACAATCTGATATATTTTCCACACATGCCCAATACAATGTATTCACCGCATATATAATATCTTTTGCTCAAATTACCGCTATTCACACACAGACGGGCACAAATACATGTACACAGACGTCTAAGCAAATATCCCCGTTGTGTAAATATCCTGTCCCAGTGCCCGTCGCTGTCGCTGTCCCTGTTCCTGTCCCTCTCGCTGTCGCTGTCCCTGTTCCTGTCATGGCTTCGCTTCCATTTTGCATTTTCCACTTTCCACGTCCCCTCTTCATTTCCCCTTCGTCCTACCCAAATACGGGCGCTCTTTAGGCTTTTGTGTGCCACGCGAGCTCAGCAAATGTCGTGCTGTGCAGATACACTTTGTGTGTGTGAGCGTGTGTGCGTGTGTGTGTGTGATAACAACCCAAGGATTATTTCGCATTACTTTATTTTCACAACCGCTTGCAAGTTTGCGGTACTTTAGCCAAGCCACGCCCCAGCCCCGCCCCTTGAGGCAAGGCCCGCTTATAATTTACACGCTGATTGCGCGTCGGGATTATATATAATTTCTCTATGGTTTCTTCCCCGATTCCCCCCTCTATCACATGCAATCGCCATGAACACACTCTATGCCATCCCCTACCAAGTACCTACCTATTTATGCGCATTTATCTGATTTTTGTAACTCCGTGTGCGGTTTTTTCCGGGTCTCTTTTCTTCACACGTTTTTATGAGCTTATAAAATTAATTGTATATTAATGTGTGTGTGTGTGCCTGTATGCTTGTGTGTGTGTGTGTGTGTGTGTACCTTTAGATGTGATGGATATGGCACATTTGATTATGTTTTGGCTAAATAATGAAATTATCTGGCAATAAAGCGTTCTATGTTACCGGGAGCTGTAATTTTGAATGGTATTATCCTGATTTTCGGCTTGTCCGAATGATGATGGATGAGCCAATGAGAGGATTTGGATACGTTGCGGACAGAATGGGCGTGAGTGTCGTAGAGTGAAAGTCAGACGTTGCCGAATGTATTCAGTGGGGCGGCAATGACCAAACCTCGCGTTGACCTTACACATTAACCACATTACCCCAACCCCAGCTGCAGCACCAGCAAACATTACATTACAAGCAACGGCAGCTGTAGTAATGTAACCGATTTGGAAACCGAAACCCAGACCATGGTGGTCGGTTAAGTGGCCAACTGCGTAACCATAACCTCAACCATTGACAAATATTGAAAAAGCGTCCGCTGTTTTCCCCTGGCATTATCTGAAAGTCGTTGTATCGTTATTAACGAGTCGGAGAGACTCCGAAAACAAACGAGGTCCGCGACATAGACAACTGAAACATAATACAAATAATTAAAAATAGCCCGAGCACTGAGCACTGAGAGACAATGTCGTGGTGTGGATGGGGAAAAGGTCTAGCCGGCTGGCGGACTGTGGCAAAAACAATTGTGTCAATAGTTCACCCGCATTTCAGTAGAGGAGCGGCGGCGGCGACCAGGAGATAAACACAGACGATAATGGCCTGCATCGGACGGAACAGCTGCTAACGACTGTCAATGACTGGATGACTCAAAACTAATATAACATACGCCTATAGTCAGAGTGAGAGAGAGAGAGAGGGTGGGGTATGATTCGAATCCAGTTGATCTATGCGACACACACTTGAATATATCCCTAAGAGCCTGAGGGAGTAGGGAAGGGGAACCAATTGTAAGGTGACACCTACTGGCATCATTTGTTTACACAATATTGGATATTGGATAGGCTAGAGGCAAAGGAAATGGGCATTAGCATGAAATTTGTAAGGCACAACACGCACTCAAGAACGAAAGGAAAGCAAAGGAAAGGATCAGTTTGTAGAAATTTATGCAGGCGACAAATTCAAAACACATGTCCTGAGCGCGCGAGCACAACAGCCCCTGGAATACACGAATAACCAATCAATTGTTTATTTATTGTCTGTTACTTGTTTGCTTTTCTTTTCATTTCGTTCAATCTCTTTTGTCTGACAAGCAGGACAGACCCTGGTGTCATCTCCCATTGCGAGAGACCACACAAAAGTAGCCATGAACCCAGTCACAGCCGCAGTCACTGCATTTAGCCTCAGTCACGGCCTAGTGAAGCTGTGCGTACTGTAGGGCAGGTGCCAAATAGCAAACCCAGATTACGCAGAACAGAACGGAACAGAACAGAGCCGAGGGTTAAACGGACAACTTCATTTAGGGATTGGCTCATTTTACGCGCATTATCCATAGTCATTATCTGGGCAAATCTTGCTGTCGGCCAACGGATGGGCATTGTTTTCGGACATCGGTCCCAATTATGGCATCAATTTCCATTGTCCGTTCCTCGTGATTAGTATTGCCAACTCGGCAGCTACTTGGATAAGCCACACAGAGAGAAATTTTCGACGACAATGGGTAATTCGAGTTATTCATTTTTGCTGGACAACAATATCGGAATTAGAAGCCATTGTAAGTAGTTTAGAAATGATTCAGAAAAGTATGCTCTATTCTTTTATGATTTTTATAAGAATTGGATATGGCAAGACAATATGCATGGATGTACCATACACATAGCCTGGGATTCTAATCGGGATCCTCATGTTATTTGTGTCATATAATATGTTTAATATTCGATTAATTTATCATTTCAATCTACTCATTACAAGAAGCAACCCTCGGGCAGAAACGAAGGACACTGCGGTTTCGGCTTGTCCGACTTAAGCCCAGGCTCAAAAGCGCTGGATCTAGTCGAGCGCATGCCACAGACAAGGACACGCGTGTGCCCAATGCCAAGTCGCATAAAGCAATATAATCTCTCATTACAACTACAACAAAAGCGCCCTGGCGAGCTCAGCCTGTGGCATATGCTGCTCCTTCCCGTTGACTTATTCCTTCTCCGTCTCTGCAGGCGTCACGAATTTATAGCCCCTGCAGTGCGAACGTCGCGTCGAGTGCAACAAGCACAAAAATTTATAACTGAGCCGTAATGAACTCATATTTTATAACGTTTATTAACCCATTGATAACCGGCCAAGTGCTTAACGGCAACTGAATTTATGCGTCTGGTCTTGTCGTTTCTTGGGGCACGGGGTAGTGCGCCAGTCGCCAGTCTTGGTCTGCGTCTGGCGGGTTATCGAAACATTCTCAACGGCCGGAGCAGCCAATGCCTTGTGACAAATAAATGTCATATTAATGTCAGAGTCCCACAAGCAGAATTGATTCGCTGTGGCCTCCCCGGATTCAAATCTGCGGCAGCCCAACTGAGCCCCATCCCCCATGCGGCTGCTGGGTTATGTTTGTGGACTTCGGATTTTCAAGTGGCCCAGCTTCCGCACGCCTGCGTCTTTCATGCGGCCTGCTTTAGTTTCATGCATGTTCCCTTGGCTTAAGGCTTTATTAGGAATGGTTGCGATAAGCCTATGTTATGAGGACTGCGAATGGCCAAGTGCGAGAGTCTCTTTAAGCGAAACAAATTGTGAGGCGCCTTGGCAGCCTTCGGAACTGGGATAAAATAGTATGGCGCAATTGGGCGAATCTAACCGGAGATCATTGTGGTAATTATGACGAAATTAACAAGCCCTCGCATGGCCAATTCTAATACGATTTGGTAAAAACGACAAGTAAATTTAATGGATACTACTTGATAAGTTTAATAGCTACCCCAAGATTTTGTTAACTGCATTGATACCATTGAAGAAAAAACGTCAGATCAACTATTTATTTAAATACGTTAATGCGAACAGGTCGAATTAGTTTTAAAGTTAAAGTTAAAATTTATTCGTTTAATTTTTCACCGAATTTCGCGCCTCATGGCACCCTCATATCCAAGAAAATTTGTATTTTCCGTAACAGATGAATCTCTTCTTTTATGACACTCACTCTCTTCCCTCCGAGTGGTTGGCTTTTGCGAAATGGTTTTTATACTTATTTCTAAAATTTTAACAGATTTTTTTAAAAATGAAGCTGATCGTATGAGAAAAAATGTCTTAATAAATCAGTTGTCTGTCATAAGGCGAAAAGGGAATTTTCTAAAATTAACTCTAAAATTAATTTCAATTCTTTAGTGTACCTTTTACCTTTGCTACCCTTCTAGCGTCGCCCACTTTTACTTTTCGCAACACACTTTCAGTCGTTCTGAGCCTTTCACATTTAACACATTGCGCTGTCCTGCGCCCGAGGCACTCATCCCGTGCACGTTAGCCGCTTCCGGCATGCGCTTGTATGTGTTTGTTTGCATTGCTCGCCTTTGGCACGCACTGCCCGCCCGTTTTCCCAGCTTGGCAGCTTCCCGGTTGCCTTTTTGGTCCTTTGCCCTGTGCGAGCAGCGTCAACTAAATATTCCCCTGTGATCCGTGCTTCGCAATCAAGCGTTACTGTTGTTTGCTTTTCGGAACTTTGGTCCATTAAGTGACGGCGTTGCTGCAGCCGCCGGCGGGCAAATGTCGCTGGTGAC